GGTGGGTTAAAGCAGGCGGGGGCTGGGAGCCAGGACTCCTGGGTTCTATTCCTGGTACAGGGAGGGGGAGTTCTAGTGGTTACAGGGGTGGAGGCTTGGAGCCCCCCCCCTCGGGTCTCCAGGCCCCTATTTCATCCCCAGGCCTACTTTCCCCTCCCTCCATCCCTCTGGTACCACAGCAACCCCGGGCGGGAGGGTGACAGGAACCCACGGGGCTGGCTGAATGGGGAGGAGTGGGGGGGGGGGTCGACAGCAGGAGTGTGGGGCAGGGGGGCAGGCAGGTTTCTAGGCTGGGTGCTGAGGCCCTGTGACTCCTCTAAGGTGAGATATGGGGCTGCTGAGCGGGGGCAGGATGCCAGGGTCAGCCCCAGGGCCGTGTGCTGGGGGGGGGGTCCCAGCCAGCTGGGGGGAGTCAGTGCAACAGCCTGTGCTGAGAACCAGGAAGGGGGGGGTTGTTCCCAGCCCCATTAACCCCCCTCCTGTTCCAGGGGGCCCCACGGTGCCGTGCTGGTCGCTGCCCAAGGTTGTGGCTGTCGTGACTGGTGGTTTCCTGCTCTTAGCCGGCATCGGAGCCAGCGTGTGGGCCATTGGTAAGAACCTGGCCCCCCAGGACCCCTCACTCCTGAGGTGCAACCCCCTGGTATCCCAGCCCTGGGCTCCCCCCACCCAGCCCTGCCCGGGCCCCTCACTCCCAACCTGCAGCTCCCTGCTAGCCCCCCACTACCCCTCCCCAACTGGCAAATGCCCCTTACTCTTGTCCTATAGCCCCCTGCTAGCCCCACCTGCCAGCCCTGCCTGTGCCCCCCCACCAGCTCACATTCCCTAATGCCATATCCTCATTCCTCATAATCACAGCCATGGGCGCACCTGGAGCTCCCCCTCCTGCTGCCCCCTGCTGGGCATGGTGGGCTCTGCATGTACTCTAAGGCTCTCTTGTCTCTTGCAGTGACATCTGTGCTGGGGAGCGACAGTGAAGGACTGTATGGTGGTAAGTGGGGGAGCCCCCTGCTCAGGGCCATATGACTGGGAGCTACTGCCCCCCTCAATAGGGGGGTCTGACACCCTCCCCCTTGTGCACACCAGGGCAGGGCCCGAATCCCCCTCCTCTAACCCACCAGCCCCCACTCCCCTCCCAGAGCCGGGGATAGAACCAAGGAGTCCTGGCTCCCAGCCAGCTCTCCTCTGCCCATCAGACCCTACTCCCCTCCCAGAGCCGGAGATAGAACCCAGGAGTCCTGGTTCATAACCCACGCCCCCACCAACCCACCAGACCCCACTCTCCTCCCAGAACCAGGCATAGAACCCAGGAGTCCTGACTCCCAGTGGAGGGCCCTCGTCCACTGGATCCAGCTGCCACTTTGTGGGTGTTAGTAGGAAATTGGCTGGTCTGTGAACAGCCCAGAGCCCTGCCCTGATCCACCCTCCCTGTTGCTAAGTATCCAGGGGTAGCCGTGTTAGTCTGTATCCACAAAAACAACAAGGAGTCCGGTGGCACCTTAAAGACTAACAGATTTATTTGGGCATAAGCTTTCATGGGTAAAAAACCCAGTTCTTGGGTAAAAACAACACTGAAGAAGTGGGGTTTTTACCCACGAAAGCTTAGGCCCAAATAAATCTGTTAGTCTTTAAGGTGCCACCAGACTCCTCCCTGTTGCTGGGAGGCCCGGGGATGGCTGCTGTAGGGCTGAGAATGGCCACTGGAGGGAGACATGGACACAGGCTGACCCAGGGTGCTCGTGCAGGGCTGGAGGGGAGGTGGAGGGTGACACATGAAGTTCTTAGACCATTACTCAGCGCTGCCCCCTCCCACCCCACAGTCCAGGTCAGTTCGGCCGACCTCCGGCTCACACTGTACGATGAGAGAGAGAGCAAATGGCGCCTCATCTGCTCCACCTCCTCCAATGCCCTGGTGGCTGCGCTGAGCTGCGCAGAGATGGGTTTCATCAGGTACCAGCCTGGGATAGCAGGGGCTGCGGGTCGGGAGTGAGGGGCACTGACAGAGCTGGGGAGGGGGCAGCCCAGGGCTGGGATAGCAGGGGCTGTAGGTCGGGAGTGAGGGGTGCTGACAGAGCTGGGGGGACCCAGGGCTGGGATAGCAGGGGCTGTAGGTCGGGAGTGAGGGGCACTGACAGAGCTGGGGAGGGGGGAGCCCAGGGCTGGGATAGTAGGGGCTGCGGGTCGGGAGTGAGGGGCGCTGTGTGATGCTGTCCCCTCCCCAGGTCTCTCTGGCACTCGGAGCTGGATGTGGAGCGCGCGGGCACCAATGGGACATCGGGATATTTCTGTGTGGACGAGTCTCGCCTGCCCCTGGCCCAGAGACTCAGTGAGGTCATCTCCATCTGGTGCGTGGGGCGGGGCGGGGGGCTCAGCAGCGGGTGCCGTGCTGCTAGGAGGGGGCAGGGGAACTCTGGGGGCAGCCCTTCCCCCACGCCTGGGCTGCTGGATCCCTGGGAACTGGTTACTCTTATATTGGCATTTTGTTGGGTGTGTCTGTGTCTGTGCATCTCTCTGTGTGTGCATCTCTGTGTGTGTGTGTGTGTGTGTGTGTGTATGTGGCCCGCTGCCCCCTGCTGGAGGGATTTAGCCCTGCTGTGTGTGTGTGCGTCTGTGTGTGTGCGTCTGTGAGTGTGTGTGTGTGTGTCCCTGCTGCCCCTGCTGGAGGGGATGGGTCCTACTCTGTGCTGTAGTCTATTTAAAGTGGATTTAGTGATGTGCTATTACACCACTGTGGGTTTGGCTCTGCTGGCTCCAGTTTCAAGCTCAGCAGAGTGAACGTCACCTCTGCTACCTGCTTTCGACGTAGAGCCCCTAGGAACACACAAAGACCAAGGGTGCTGCCCACACACACACAGTCACACAGACAAGGTCTAGTCTGGCTTCCAAGTGTTATTAAAGTTACTGTTAAGGTTCTGCTTCCCCAAGCACATAGAAATCCTCTACAGACCGGTACACGCGTTACAAAGCCAGCCATACTCACACCCTGAACGGCCGTCTCCGGGCCTGGTGCCTGCCTTGCCGATCGGTCAGCAGGAGAGGGGTGGTTCCTGCTAGAGTTTACCTGTAGGAAGCTCATTTCCCCCAGTCTGGAGCCCTCTTTTATCTGGTGATTCTGACCATACCTAACACTCTGTGTGTGTGAAGGCGTCCACCCTCTTTGTCCTTATCTGTATCGTGTCCCCCAAGAATATTGGGGTACCCTGTTTTACATAGGTTGATTATAGTTCCTTTTAGTCGCATTAGCACGACGTAAACCCTGTGGTTAGGGCACAATGTGCCCTGTGGTCAAAATTACTCTCAGTGTTCATTTTTCACAATACCACCCGTTGCAACAGCTTTTCCAGTAACCTTGTCGTTTGGGGCCATTTTTTGGTCACTTATGTCCAGTATTTCTTAAGCCTATGGCCTAGTAGGACTAAGCTGACATATTACAGGCCTCAGCCTGTAGGCCTGGTGTTCCAGCCCTGTTTACTTACATACCTAATGCATCGGACTACTGGTCAATCGTATACTTCTGTAGTCCTACAACTTACATCTGTTTAGCACATAATGATTCTATATGATGTTAGTTAATCATAACATCACATAATAAATGAATGATAATGAACCGTGTGTGTGTGTGTGTG